CACCTAAGCCACCCATGTCCTTGACCACCACCTCCAGCACCATGTAGTTGTGCCTGCTGTGCTCCATGTCTCTCCTCGGCTTATCTTTGGTGTGTGTGAGGAAAAGTAGCAGGGGTTCGGGGTCTGAGGAGTGGGCAAGCCATGGCAGTCTCTCTGCAGCATCCTACAGTCTACCCTGGCAAGCAGCAAACCTCCCCAGGCAGCAGGTTGGGTCAGCAGATCAACAGATGAGAAGTGAGAGTCATCTCCAAATTATCACAAAAGAACAAATCAGTTAATAGCCATAGTATCCAGCTGACATGCAATGCATGTTCATCAAAACAATGTTCATCGGGAACATATAAAACAACCCTTCTAATTTTATCTTACTTTGGCAAAACCACAACAGTCCTCATGGGTACTGAATGTTAAATTTTTTTCCTTAACATAGCATATTCTGATGCAAGCAAAGTAACCAAGAGTACATAACAGCATCATTATTCTTAGTAACTAACTGAACATTCAAAATGATAAGGAGTAAAAAGAAAAAAAGAGGGGGAAAAAAAGTGAAAAAATCCCCAGTGCTGAATAAAAGGATCTGGATGCTCTGATTGCTAGCCAAATAGAATCAAAAATGTTATCACATTGTCTGTTTCCAAAAGACAGACTTTCTCAAGTTTGTCAACAAAGTCATATACAAGACAAAGGAGGCATTATTCTGCTTCATTTAGCAATGGTAAGACCTTAGATGGAACGTGGTGTTTCATTCTATCATCTATCTTATTTTAATAAGGTTATATATAAACTGAAGTAAATTCTGATGAGAACAAGAATGATGAAATTTAGAATCATGAACTAAGAAGAAAAGTTAGAAGAACTGTGTTCATTTCGTACAGTGGGATGACTGAAGGCTGACAACATGAGAGCCTTCCTCCATTTTCAAAGGAATGACTACAGTGAATAAACTCCATATTAAACAAGAGATATCTAGGTTAACTATAATGGAAAAAAAAACCTCCTTGTAAGACTGGTTAAACACTAGAATAACTACACAAGAGTATTATGCATGCACTTCCAACATGGGAATCAGTCAGAGACAATACAGATACGCCTATCCTGCCTCAGAACACAGAGACGGATGAGATTAATTTGGAATGTCTCTTCCAGCCTGGGTTTTCCACAATTCTATAATTCCGTTTGATCTAAGCTTTTCCTTCAGAAAGGAAGAGGAGATATCTGCTCTGCTCCCAACAGGGCCCGCTTGGGCTTTTTCCCCTGGCCTTTGCTACTGAAGGGGCATCCAATCCGTAGTTCATCACAGAAGACAAAAAGTAAGAAAAGCAGCATTTAAAAGGTCAATAATCACAGTAGAGGCGTGAAAAAGGCAGCTTCACTTGCCTCCATCCTCTTGCTTTCTAATTAGGTGCTGACAATGTGGTTGACACTGTGTAAGATACAGAGAGAGTTCTTGCTCTGGGGAGTTCAGAGTCTAAGAGCTGAAGAATGAAGATCCCTCAGGATTAGTTCTTTCTTCCATGTGCTTTAAAGGGCTGAAATTTTTTCACCGTAGACCTATGAATCACATTCTAAATTGAGACAGAGATAAATAGAAAGCAAGCTATTTCAGGTGGATAGGGACTTGAAAAAAATCTATGCAACGTGCTGCTTTTGGCAGGCAGAAGAACATTAATATAGAAGTAAGTGCTGAGTGGCATGGATATCATCACACTAGCTAAGAATAGAAAAGCTCTGTCTCTGCTATCACAGAAGAGGTTGATCACTCTATTTAAAATATGGGAGTACTTCATGGTACATCTGGCATTTAAATACTCTATTAATGAACTTCCAATCTTGTTCAGAGTTGCTAGCAAAACATACCCCCTGAGCAAATGGTCCATTGTCACTGATTGACAGAAACACACATTTATCCATGAATTGAAAAAATAAAATAAAATCCAGTCATATAACAGAAAAAAACAAACCAAAACAAAACAAAAAACCCCAAACCAACTAATTTTGCAACTCTGAATAATTCAAATTATAGATGTAAAAGTCACTACTAACATCAAAAGAATATTTCCCATTCTATTCAGAGCATAGCACGGGAATTTTTAAGTCAAACTAGTACTATTCTAACATCTAACTGAAACAAACTCCTGAGAAAATAAATATAAGTTCCGTAATATACAGAAATTCATGTTAGAATACAACAGTTCTGAAAGGCAAATAAACAATCACAGGACAAAAATATTCCAGGTAATTTTTACTATGTCACTCTTTATGTAAATTAACATACAACACTGCTGTGCCGTAAAGGCCAGTTTTCATTTAAGCAGATTATGTATCACATAGTTCTTCACTGCTGAAGACTTTTGACTTTCTGTATAGATGTGTAGTAAAGTCAGAGTGTATAGGAGTACAAAAATATCAGTTTGTGACCTCTCTAATGATGTGTATTGTATTCTATATTTTAAGTCCATCATGTGTTTTAAGATTGTTGATCCAACTTTAATCGATTGAGTTCTGCATCACAAAGCTCTTCACAAGTTAATTTACTTTGCCTCTAAGAGAGATTTTGTCTACACTCAATCATCTCTGTTTCTGTTAAGTTTAAATTTTCAATATTCTAATTATACACTTCAACGGAAGCTTAAAAGCCCTTAATTCAGCGATTGCTACATATTGATGTAATGCAACCTA